CAAAGTTTTGGCTAAAATCGAGCAACCTTATTTGAATAAAATGTTTTTTGAAAAAATTTATTTAAAATTTTTGCGTTTTCGTAAAATTGATGGCTCTTCGGCGCTAGTTAGGATGCGTCAGAAAATTTTCAAAAATTATCTGAGATAATTTTTGAAAAAACAAGTGACACTAAAACACAAAAATAACTTGTTATCACAACTAAGATGAACAAAAAAATAATTTTTACACTTAAAAGTTTCATACACAAATTAAAGTACACGCATCTCCATTATAAGGTGTAGGAAATTTTTTGCTTTAAAAAATCCCAAACGTTTTTGTTTGAGTTTCATGTTGATTTTATATCTTTGCAAGTTGCGTACAAAATCTTCAAAAATTTCAAAATTGGACTTTCTTGGAATTTCAAAATCTTTTTGTGTTCAGAGCGAAAAAGGAGTTGTTTCATATTTCATTTTTGCTATCGAATGTTTCATTTATATAAAGTTATACACACACACACACACACACACACACACACACACACATATATATATATATATATATATATATATATATATATATATATATATATATAAGTATGTTTGTTAAAAGTAATCTCTGAATTCAAACTTTTTTATACAATTTCGTATATAAACAGGCAGTACAGTCTGTTTAAAAAAACCTATACTAAAAGGTGGATCTGCATATCTTTAAACTGTTTTATACTAAGCTTTTAAAAATGAGAAGAAGTCATCTAATGCTGTGAAATTGGACGTTAAGTATCAAAATTAAAAAAAAATTTATTGAAGACTTCTAACTGTGCTCCGGTTTTCAATAAAATTGTGTTTGAATTGCAAAGCCTCAAAATAATGTTTCTCGACACAAAAAATTTTTCGGATATTTTTTTGAATTCAAGACTGAAAAAATTTTTCTGTCATATACCATCGCACCCTATCTAAAAGTAATTTTGGGAACCTAATTTTGTGAGAAATATTTGCAACGTCTGACAGTATTCATTGATAAAAAGCTTACAACAGCTTATTTTAAAACAAAAAACAATTTAGTTTTACTTGAGTATTGTCAGTTAACTTTCAGCATTTCAGCGCCTTTTTGAAAAATTACTGGAAAAACGAAAAAAAAAAAAAATCTTTTCATTTTTTTTCTCAGTTTTTCCAGTAATTTTTCATTTCGAATTTTGATAAAACTATATAAGAGTTTAAAAACTGCCAATTTAGCTAATTTGGGACAAGCAAAATTCGAGTTTTTGTGATAGTAACGCGTAAGCAGTCTTTCATAACGCTTGTAAGTTAGTCCAAACATAATTTAATTGCCCATTCTCTAAAGTTTTGGTTTAATTCAGTATCGACTCCTAAACGTGATCTAATTTAGTCAGGCAGACTAATTTCTTAACAATTTTTGGCACCTTTTTCTGTGGAAAAGCAAAAACAAACGAATCTGCCGTTTTTGGCGGAATCTTTTGGGATTTAATTTTATCAAGTTGAGAAAGTTATTACGCGCAAGATTTTAAGTTTTCTATTTAAAAAACCACCACAAAGGCTTCCACAAAAAATTGCTGAATTGTTTACAATCTGTTTTCGAAGGTAACGATAGTATGTGGTTGCAAGAGTTGATAATTTATGTCACTTTTTTCTGAATTATGACAAAGTGCAAAATGTTCATGCTCGATGTGGTTTTTTCTTCAGACAAACTTTAACTTTTTAATTAGGCTATTTTGAATGTTTAATACGATCTGAAGTTTTCGTCGTCCTGATCTCATTTTTAAAAAGATATTCGAATGGCCATAAACTTTTGTTATGTTTTGGCGGTTTGAAAATTGCCAATTTAATTTGCGGTAAATTTCGTCCTTTCTAAAGCTTAAAAAGCAATTCTAATTTGAGATGAGATTTTTTACGTAATATTATTAATAAATAGCATGATGCGATATGTAATTCTGTACTTTACATTGCGTTTGGGCTGTAATTTTTTTTCTCATACAAAAAATCTTTTCTTGCTAATTCTATTAAAACATTGATTTATTCCTCAGATTTGTTGTTTTATATATAAATTTTTGTTGAAGTTTGACCACTGATTGTTCCGAAATAATATAAAAGACAAACTATTTTACATCGAATCAAATCGCAGTTGCTTGCAAGAATAGCCGGTTGTTGTGCACATAGTACCCGCTGCTAATAAAAATTGAAAAATTAGAACTTTTTTAATTTCTCTCCCGTTTCCTTACCTAACAAACTTGGATATTGAAGGAATTTGAGCTCTGATTTACAAAATTAATTTGTGTAAATCTTATGAAAAAGTGGTTGAAACTAAATGATATTGTAGATATTCAATTCCAATTTTTTTTCAGAATATTTTTCAGCCTTGAGACCATTTTTTTTAAAAACTTTACCTGAAGTCAGAAATCCCGGCCATTATTGACCTGACCTAATCTACATTTTGAACTCATTTGAAAGCTATTTGTGGTACTAGATTTAGCGCGGAGATTTTTTTGCCTTTTGTTTCGACTTTCTCGACGATGTTCAATCTATTTCGACAATTATGGTCAAAACTCTGTATGGTTCGACTTTCTCGACATTATGTTCATATGTCTCAATCTTCTCAATTCTCAAGAAAAGTTTGAAAGGGATCAACCAAGTTCAGAAAAAATTCGATAACCTTGCATAAAAATTGATTTTTTTCTCGACTCTTTCGATGGAAAGCAGAAGGCAACCGAGTTATTTATTGCCAGCTCAAACCTCGGCATAACTACCATACTTGACCTATATTTGAACTATCTCGACTTTCAACTAATATGAGTGAAATTTTGCAAGCAATTTTTTGTGGCGTTGCTTAACTTGAAAATATTTGTAAGAATCACTAATCTTGGCAGTAAAATCTATTCGGTTCAAATTGAATCTTCCAATTTGCAGCCCGTACCTAGTAAATGTTCTAATTCAGATCTGAAATAAACTTTTTGAGATCTAAATTTCAGATCTGAAATCGGCTGTGAAATAATAAAACAACGCTGAGATACTTTAGGAATGAAATGTTTCAGATATAATTTCAGACCTCAAACTTTAAATTTCAAATCTAAATTTCAGAGCTGAAATAACTAAGAAAACAAAGTTGGGATTTTTCTCAGGAAACTAATAAAAACTAACAAAACCTTAAATCATCAAGGAGTTGCCGCTTCTGCAGAAAAAACGTTCATAACTTGTTACGTCGATTTAATCCTGCAGTTTATCTCCAATATAGCAGAGTAGTTGGTGAGAAAATTGTCGAAGTTTCTGTAAAATGATCACAAAATAAACAAAATTGATTTTTCAATAAAACATATATGTACAAAAATTAGGTCTCATCGATTTATGCGAAAAACCTTAACATGTAGCTTCAAATAAACCGTTAATCCCAAATAGAGTTTGAAAATTTGCAAAAAGGACCAAAAACTCAACTAATTGACAATTCCGAAATCGTTACCGTTTTTTTCCTACAGAAGTTAGAGCGTGGCCGCTGATGCAGATATAACTCCCACTGCTAATTTTCTCAACCGAACTTTTGATCTGAGAACTGACAAAAAGTTTCCAAAAAAATTCAAAAAATGGCCCTTTTTTTTGAAAAAAAATTGCTTTTTTTGAAGGCTTAAGTTTTTAAACAGGATGTGGCCGTTTATGTGGAGAAATTTCACTCAAATTGTTGTTTCGAGTAAACCTGGATATCAAATTTGGCAGGGTAATTTTTTTTAGAGAAGTCAAAAAAGTTTTTTAAAAACTCAGAAAGTCAAAAATTCGGCCTGCAGGCAATAAAAGGAAGTTTCAGGATAAACTTAGGCGAGGTAAAAAATTAGTATCTTTGTCATTTTAAGACAGATTCCAGTTTAAATAAAAATAAATTAAAGACTTGGAGTTTTGTTTTAATTTCATACCCGTGCTCAATTAGAAACGTGAACTAATTTTATAGCTTACCTAGCGGTATGGGTTTGCAATGAAAACCGTTATTGTTTTTGCGTTCAGTGTCACTATTTTCCAAGTTGCTTGGAATTCACCACGGCATTTAGTTTTCAGTTTGTTCTCCTGCCTCGTTCTCAATATGGCATATCATCTGCTCCGATTGCGATTTTCTTTTTGCTGGAATGTGAGTCCTAACTAACGACTCAACAGAAAATTGTTTTGAGTCAATGTCCTCTGCTGAATACAATTGAAGCACTGTTGTACCAACTTACATGTCAATTTGATTTTTTCTACTTCTTCCGCCCTAAGCTTTGAGATTTTGTTTCAATTTTCAAATGCAGAGAGCAAAACACTGATAGCAATGATTGAGTTTCTTAATAATTGTGATCACTTTATTCTTTGGCCAATATCTTTTCAGGCCGAATTTAGAGCAGATGTGGAGATGGTCAATTTTTTTCCTGAAGCTAATTTCTTTTTCACGTCCTTGTAAAACTCTGCAAACAATTTGAAATAATTTTAAATAGTTTCGCAATCAATCTTTTCTTCTGACCATTTCGGCTTATTTATAAATCCTGTCATAGTTCTTATGCCCTGAAAAGTTAGTTTTTTTGCAAAACTTTATCCCTCGTTGCTCTAAGAATTATGACAGAGTTTTAGTTCATTGAAGAAACCCAGGGCCTTCTGAATTACCCCTCTTGTTGTAAAATTTAGAGTTTTGATTTCAAATCTGGACTAAGTGGGGTGCCGGACATCAAGCCGACGGGATTTCAAGCCGAATCGTAAAATTAAGGACTTCAAGCCGAATCGTGTTCCTTATAAAGTCGTTAAATTTGATTAATTTGAAAACTTTTTTGAAGAATTTTTGAATTTCATGATCTTTCTTCACTAATTACATAAAATTTAAGCCTCCAAATCATGTTTCGGAAAGTTGAAAAGTAAAACATGGTTGAAGGCATTTTTCATGTTTATAATTTATGCATTTCAAAAACTGGCTGATGTTATAAACGGATGCCAATCAGAAGTGGTGCATTGTCCTGAATAACGCTTATTATGGACTAAACATGCCTAAATTTTCGAAAAACAACGTTTTACTGATGAAAAATTAGGGGAGCGATGGAGAAGTGGTTACGTCTCCGCCTCTCAATCGAAAGGTCGGCTGTTCGAGGCCCACCATGGTTTTCTGGGTCCGGCGACGATATTCTGACGAGCTTTGCCCATTTTAATCTGTCTCGCTTTTTGGCCAAACTCAAGCGTGCTCAAAGTTTCCGACGAGTTATCGTCAAGCGGGCTGCAATTTACAAAAATGCATGCTTTCGCGTCGCCCCCTAGCGACGGTTGTAGAAGTTGGGTAAGTTTCGAATTTCTGTAGGGCACGTGAACAGATTTGCATCTAAGAGCTGAAAAAACTTGACCAAGTGAACTCAGCGATTTATTAATAGCCGCGGCTTCAATAAGCGTCCAACCTTCAGCTCCGCTCTTTGCTATTTTCTCCGATCCCGCGAGGTCAACAAGGGTCAAACTTCCCACAGTTCGACCTCCAGTGACTTTATCGGTAATTTCAACATTGATCTTCAGCAACAAGTGGGACCTGGAACTATTTGTGTTCATGTTGGTTTGAGCTGTGTGTCTATTTACTTCGCCTCGTTTGATCATTTTCTTCACATCATCAGGAGCTGTGATTTCAATTTCGACGGCGTTTTCGACTTTGACAGTTTTGCCCATGAAACGGATGATGATTTCTACCGGGTTTGGGTCCCTGGGGTCTCGAAGCAGGTCTTTTACCTGCTCATTGTAGACTTCAAGCATCTGCGCTGTTATTTTGAACGTGACTTTGACCTTCTCTCGAGCTACTCTGAATAGTTCCTGCACCGCCCTCAGATTGACTCCGGGATCTTTTTCTGGGCCCATCATCGTGAAAGTTTTTCCTAGGTAAATCAAAGCTTTTTATCCTGTAATGTGGAGAGGCGTCACTTCAGAGAGAGAGAGAGAGAGAGAGAGGTGGAAGGGGTGCCCGCATCCAAGTTTAGGCGTAAATAATTGATTATAACGGATTATTATGATGATTTTTTGACAATTATAATCGATTATAATTACCAAAATTAGGTCCTTAAGGGATTTATAATTGATTATAATCGTGATATTTTCCAAGAGATTATAATCTCTTATAATCGATTATAATTGATTATAGTTCTTACTAAAAACCCTTAAAATCAATTATAATCGATTATAATCGATTATAATCTCTTATTTTGACGGAATTTTCCTATTTTCGAATTGTATCTTATGGGTTATTATTTTTGTGTCAATAAGAAAATCTCTAAAAGAGAGATCTCTTGAACACTTTGGTTCATCTGATCAGAGATCCTTTCATATGACTGGAAAAGTTCTCGCGGTAGATGAAAGATATTTTTCCGAATCAATCATGAAACTAAATCATTTTGCTGATGTTTTGGTGTTTATAAAAGCTTAAAATATGCATCACAAAACAACTCTAATGGGGGAAAAATGGAAAAAAAACTTATAAATATGAATTAATTGGAAAATTTTGAAAAATTTTCGCTAATTTTTCATACGAACCAACGTCCACAAAAAGCATAAAATATAAGCAATTTAGATGCAACTTCGAAGACAAAAATGGACAAACAAACGGGATCATAATCAATTATAATCGATTATAATGGATTTTTGTGCAAAAACTAACGAAATAGAATTTTGAATAAAAATAATGGATTATAATCAATTATAATCGATTATAATTGTATCGAAAAATAGACGAATAAATAATCGATTATAATGGATTATAATTAATTATAATTTGATTTGAAAAAAAGAGATTATAATAGATTATTAATAGATTAAAGTCGATTGTTTCTCAATTTTAGTGAGACTGGTACTAAAATCGTAATATAATCGATTATTAACGCTTGAAACTGGATGCGGGTGGCGGGTTAATCGATCGATCTACTCTCAATCATTGCTACCAGTTTTCCCCCCATTGTTACCATTTTAAATTTTAAGTCATACTTATTTTAGAGCCTACAATTTAACGCGACGGGGTAACGCGAGACGGGGGAGGAAGCGTCTAATTTAGAACATCAAGTGTCTTTGAATAGGGATTTCTAAAGTTATTGTCGGGAAATAATAAAGGGCGGAGTGGAAAAAAGTTAATGCAGTGACTTTTACCTGAGCCAGTCTGACCGTAAGCAATAATACACACGTTGTAGCCATCAACAGCAGACGTAATGATCGGTTTGGTATTCTCAAAAATATCACTCTGCGTAACATACTGGTCGTAAACCTTATCGAATTCAAACTCCATTTTCTTCCCGTGCACATTCAGTAATGAAATCGATTCGTCCGAGACGGTCAAGCAACTCGACTTGTCGGGTTTGATTCGGCAGAACACACGAATGTTTCCTCGCAACTCTTGTAACTGGTTGTAGAGCAGTTTCCTTTGTAACATTTCCTTTCGGTAAAGAGCTCGAACTTCTTCGATTTCAGCACCAAGGTTCGTTCCTCCACCTCTCATCAAATGATAACATTCTGCCAGCTGTTTTAGCATGCTTTTTAACTTTTCCAGCTCTTTCACCACAAAATCTTTTAAGTTATTTTGCTGTTCGTCCATTTTTTTGACTTTTTCATTGGCGCCTTTTATCATGAGCTCCATTTCTTTCGTTATTTGGGGTCCTTCGGAGGTTTCAACCAATGTGGAAGCCAAAGAGCCAGTGTTTCCTTGGTCTTTACCTTTACCTTTGGCGTTTGCAGCTTGCTCGCTTTTTATAGAACCACCGGTCAGTTCTGTTTTCTCTCTCATCAACCTCGTTTTCTCTCTCTGGACGCCCTGAAGTTGGAAAACCGAGTTCTTTTTATCGGCTTTCACAGAGTTTAGGCTTCTATTCATAGCTTCAAGTTCATCTTCAAGGTCCTTACATTTCTTCTCACAG